TAATTGAGCAGCCCAGTAGAAGTTGATGTAGTTGGCTCAACAGGCCTTGTACTTCAGGATTCAGTAATATGCTATAAAACAGAAGGGACTTGTGGAAGTCAAAGGGGTAAGTGACTAGGTGAAGTTGTATCAACACTACAGGCAAAAATAGGAAAATGTGCTCTATATACTGCTGGTGATTATGATTTCCCCCCCCCGTTGATAAGAGTTCAGGAGACAGATGTACACTGAAACAAGGAGATAATAATTTTCTGAGGTCTCTAAAAGAGTAAGAAAGGTCAAAACCTCCTTTAATTTTTGCTCTGATGTTATTGAAAGATTCCATAGAAACTTAAGTATGTTTTCAAGAGTTTTGTGACCTCTCTTGAATCAATGCCAGATAAGTAGCAATAAAATAGGTCGTTAGAGTCACTTCCTTAGTCTCTTAAGATTTTGTTTTTCTCAGAGTGCTCTTCTGTTGCCACTGGTGGTGACAAAAAAAGCTAATAGCATTGGAATAATCATTACACAAGATCCTTGCAAAATAGATACCTCTAGAAGTTCTGTTTCAGCCTCTCATTGTTATGGGAAGCAGTCCCTCAACCCTCTCTAAAATCGCTCCCAAAAACGTGACTTCAGCTCATACACTCACGTTTTTGGACCATCTGCCTGTACATCTGTGTCGAAAATGTTGGTCATAATGGTCATCATTACCAATTGTTCTTCTGTTTTTCATTTCCAAGGACTTCATTTTGAACTGTCTCTTTCTGTTTACATTGCATGCAAATATTTTGCTTGGTAATACTAAAGTGAACAGTGAATACAGCTGCCATATGATTAGCGTTGTTCCACATGGTGGCTGGAATCTGTTCAATTTAGTGACCTTAACTGGCTATTTGAGTGGGGTTTTTTGGTTAGGCTACTTAATTAGAGTTCTGGATTAACATTAGAAATGTCCTTCAGGGTGAAAGCTGAGAGCCTTTTAGTCCTGCATTTTGTCTCTGACCTTGGCCACTATCAATATGTTTACATTTTGAAGTATTATGCTTGAAGCTGGGTAGGTTACAGAGGAGACTGCTAGATTCGGGGCAGTTTTAAGCAGTATTACACTGTATTAGAGTGGCGTTACCTCATATTGTTCTGTACCATGGATAGATTTGGCATTGTCTGTAGATGTTTAGGCAGCTGGTGGGTCTAAGTCTGATAGCTGTTTAGGTTCTCAGGATACATATAGATGAAATCACCCTTAATTTCTTTAAATTAAAGAGAAGGAAATGATGAAATGGTTGTGAAAACCCTGTTAGAAACCTGTCATCGACAAGCCTTTTGATGCCTCTGCATCCTTTATGGTTTTGAAGTTGAAAGTTTTGAATGTCTTTTACAATGTCCTAACACTTTTTTAAACATATGTTTAAGCAATATGCACTTGAGAGGAAAAATTTATATTGTTACCCCAAGTATTCTAGCTTTTACAGTGAATTTAGATCTTTCTATATTTTGTCTCACAGTCCTTTGTGGATGCAGCAATGACAGGGGGAACCAAAATCAAAACAGATGCTGAAACTTGAAACATCCTTGTTGGAATTATAGAATGAGTTGCACGCTGCATCTGAAAAAACACCATCACAGAAAAGCAGACAGGTCAACATGTTGCTTGCTGCAGAAAATTGAGGCAAAGGAAAAATGTCTATGCATGTAAGAGAAAGAAAGGGAGGTAGATTAAGAAGCTGGCAGAGTCAGCAGAGAAAGAAGCCAAGAAAAACAGATGCCAGATCTAAATACCAATTCTGTAAGGACTGAATCACTTATTCAGCAGCCTTACATTGACTGCCTAGAATAATTGACATGGGTACAATGCTGTTGTCTGCTTGAGGAAGAATTTTTGCATAGTCAGACTGAAATTATTCAGAGAGGTCAAAAATGGCTGTGAAATCAACTGTCTATTTTTTGTTCATACAGATACTATAATGATCCAAATGTCTGCCCTTCAACAAATCACTGAGCAGCTCTCTGGGCTACAAACACAACTTTCAAAATGCATTTGACAACTTAGATTATGCATTGCTGTCTGATACTTTGTAGTGTATGTATGCGTCCAAATATATTTTTACATGTATTTGCAGTATTTATTATCATCATCTCTTTGACAACTCATGCTATAATGATAAAAGATATTAAAAATGTAAAAATATGGATTAAAATAATCACTGTTGTGTTGCTTAATCCTATGTGATTTGTAATTAATTGAAAAATCGATCATTGATATGACATGGCATCGGTTTATGACCAAAATTGTCAAAGATCAATATATTTATGTTGATTTTATTGATAGTATGTAGAGTTTTATGTGACAATTTCTGTTCCTTTTGCCATGCAGAATTGAGCAAGTGATGAAGAGTGCTTTCTTTTTATCTGTTTTCTTTGTGTGTTACATAGTTAGTGCCACGGAACTAGTTCCATGGAACTAATGTCACAAAACTGAGTTAAGTACAGAGGCAGTTGATTGTTGAGCTAATCAACTTTCTCAGATAAACTGAGATATTTTGGGTTTCATTTTTTCTCCTGTTCCAAACTGTTAGTAACAGTTCTATTGTTATCAGAATTTTCCTTATCTTCTGCTTTTTTCCCTTTCACTGAAGAACTACTAATCTTTTTTTTACATTTTCACCCTTATCTGTATGAGACCATTTTAGTGATTTCCCCTGTACTCTTTAATATCATCATTATCACTGCTCAGAATGACTCTGAAGAAAAATTGAACCTCATGTTATAGCAGTATGGAAAACATTTCACAATGCCTACCATTTATCACTACAAAATCAGCTTCAGAACAGATTCCAAGAGAATAATTTGACACTGAAAAACCTCCTACCAGCTAAAAAATTGTCTCTTACAATTGTTGGAGTCCCTTGCCTAACTGAGGAAAAACTGTGGTCCAATTATATAGTCATTCAAAGACCTCAGAATTTGTGTTTCCAAGACTAAATTCTAAATGTAACCAGTTTCGTATTTCTTCTAAATATCTTTTCTCGGTTTGTGATATTTTTGGGGTTTAGTAACTGTTAAATATGGTCACTGTATTATTTGAAAGACTTGAAATATCATTATTCTTTCTCATATCTTTTCTCATAATGTTTAATTATTGAATTGTTTTATATTGAAAAGATTCCTTCATTGATGAAAAGCTCCAGCATCTAGCTGGCTTTGGGGCTCCCTGCTCTCCAAATCTTAGTCCTTGAGAGGCTTCAAGGCAGCTTTAGCATTGCTACTCTCTCATTTTTCAAAGGCAGCATTCTAAGGAAAAATAGTCGTAATTTCTCTTTCTGACCTGACACTCTGTCTGTCTTTTCACTCCAGCTCCCCATGCTAAACAGCCTTATTCATTTTCATCTGGGGACAAATTTTTGTAGTCAAGAGACACACTGAAGCTTCTTCTTCCCTTTTTCTTTTCTTCCTTCACACAAAAATCATAAAGAACTGAATGAAACATAAATGCATGAATAAATAAACATTGAGTACCCAACAACAAATCACCTTGAAGGAAAATAATGCAGAGAAGGAAATCGAAAAGAAGCATCATCCTTATCAGCAGTCAGGGACAGGCAGTGATCAGGGAAACAGCAGCTCCTTTGAGGTAGTCAACTCAGTATATGGCAAGGATTTCCAGATACACTTTATTAGTTTCCTTCTGGGTTTGTTGCTTATGAAGGCTTAATTTCATAGATGACCAGTTTGTTGACCAACCTCTATTACACACCTTCTACCATTTAACCTTCTACATTTTAACACTGGCAACTCTCTTGAGAAATTTTAAAGAGACATTGTAGTGGAATGAAGAGGATTGCCTTTTTCCCAAAGTTGTTGTAAGTGTGTGTAAGGAAACAAGAAGTCAGATCTTGAGAGAACTTCTGTTTGTGTGGCTTAGAGTCGAGTGGTCCAAAACTCTTAAATTCACAAAGGAGGAAGTTGCCTGTTTTGTTGCTGACAAAGTGGGGATTAGATCAATCTGAGATTGCACTTCAATGCAAATTCCTGGGCTGCTTAAATAATGCCTACATTTTGGGTTTTGCTTTAGTCTGTAGTGAAGCAGGTATAATTTAGGAAGTGTCTCACATATGACTTTGAGTCACTTGCCTCAGACATCTAACCTTGCACTCAAGAACATTTACCAAAAACCTCAGACTCAATCAGAAACGTTTTGTTGAAAATAAAGAAAAGTCAGTCACTCGTTATCCCATGCATTCTGCAACTGAGGATATGTGAGAAGACTGTAAATTATTTTTCTTTCTTTTTTTACTCCTCTTTTCCAGAACAACAAAGAGATCTGTGATGGATTTGTCCTAGCTGGTAACCAAATGCTCACTCAGCCACTCTCTGACTCCTCTTCCTCAGTGGGACAGAAGGGAAAGAAGAGGAAGAACAAGAATTAAAAACCTTTTGAACCAAGGTCGAGACTGGAAGATCACTTACCAATTACTGTTGTGAGCAAAATAGACTTTATTTGGGGTAAATGAATTTATTGACAATCAAAATAAATATGTATTTACTGATTTGGGTACTGGAAAGAAAAGAGAAATAAACCAAACATTTGCACACGTGGGAAAAACACCTTTCCTCCCCTTTTTTCCATACTCAACTTCACTCCAAATTCCTCTCCTTTTCTTTCTTCCTTGTTATTGCCATAGGTTACAATCAGTTCCTTCAATGAGGCAATGCACCATGCAGGATTGTTGTCGAGGGGGAGTTACAGTCAGTACATAGTTGTTTCCCTCTGCCAATCCTTACTTCTATTCTTCTTACTTTTGTCCTCTGCTCTGGTGTGGGCTCTTCACAGGCTACAGTCCTTTCAGGGATGTAACTGTTCTTCCATGGAGCACCTCCTCCTCCTCTGACATTAGTGTTCCTTTTGCTGTTTCTTTCTCTTGTATTGCCTCCTCCTTTTTCTCCCCAGTGTTTTCTAACCTTTTAAAATTATTTTTTCCCAGAGGCACCATACATGTGGTTGATGGGTTCAGCTTTGGCCAGTGGTGAATCTGTTGCAGATCTGACTGAAACTAACAGTGTCCAGCACAGGGCAGTCCCTGACCTCTTTCCACAGATGCCGCTGCTGCAGCCCCCAAACTACCAAAATCTTGTAATTTACACCCAGTCTAAGAGTAAGGGAAGCAATATCTCCTTATAAGAAGGTGCTCTTTATGGAAGAGAGTAAAATGTCCTGCTTTGCCCTTACTATTAGCAGCAGTAATTCCAGTATTTCCACTTCTCATTTCCTCCCTATCTCAGAATTGACCTTTATTTTCAAAAGTAAATGAAGTTTGTTGGTTCTTAATTTTAGTGGGTGCTCTATTGGTGATATTTTAAATAATCTGATCTTTTACAATGCAGAGAGTGTTTTAGTAAATTCTAATTGGGTTTCTTCAAGCTGAACACCCAAAAGTAGACTATGATTTAAAGCTTTGCCTAATTTTCTTTTTAATGTCAGTCCTCTGTAATCTAAACAAACAAATTGTGCTACTGTATGAATTTACATGCAGTTTCAACAGACAGTAGGTTTTTTGGCCCAGTGCAGCAGAGGAAAGCACCTGAGTTTGTGCTGGGCTAGCTTCACTCATTTAATTATTTTATAAAAAAAAGTATGTCTTACAGTTTATGAGTACTTAGAATTCCAGCTTGGTACTTCAGTGATAAAAGTCAATGGGATGTGGCTGATACAGAAAGCAGCTATTTTTAGGTAAAACTCCTGAAGTGGGATTTAATTCCTAGTCTTCTCTGCATCTTTATTTCTGAAGCTGCTTGCCAAGCTTGAATTATACATGATTAATAATTGAGCACATCATATTTATACATTCCTTTACAATAGATGCATGAGAAGAAAACAGAAAATTAAGGGGATGGGGAAGGAAAAGGATCAGCAGTTTGGGACACTAAAAGGCAAAAATATGCTTCCACAGTAGATGCTGAAAGAAAAATATGAGCTGGTAGTGATTGTATCTTTTCTGACAGTCTATCTTAATATTTATGTATTAATTTTTACATTCCTCCATTTTCATACATGGCCCATTCTTTCTTGCTGAAGTGAATCAGTGGCAAGATTGTTGTACCTGCATCAGGATTAAGGCTAGACTGCTTTTTTCTGCTAAAATATGTGCTGTATAGAGAGGATAGAAATCAGCTTAAAAGTCAATACAAGGCATGTTTTTTCCCAGATAAGGTACTGTGTAGTTAGCAATATGGCCCGATGTCTTTGGCTGAGTTGACACTTCTGTTTTCTTGGCATGTGACAATTATCTGCTTGTACATACAGCCAGAGCAAAATAGTACTATCAATCGACTCCATTACAACATCTTATGAATTTAAAAATCAAAAATCAGAGTTACACTGACTTAAAGTACTAATGCTAATCTACTTGTGATACATAGAATTAGCAACCACATCTACCTTTCTTCCCACAAAGAATTGCTGACAGTAACTTGGTTTTAATTATTTTAATTTAATAAACCACCAAAGTCTTCCTTTTGGAACTTGAGAAGTACTGCAGAGAAGTGTATGAAAAAATTATTGGTTTTCACAGTTCTTTTCAAAAGTTACCTCTTGGAGTGTAGGAGTTATAGTGTAAAAAACTTGAAAATCTTGAAACAAGACTTTATTGTTGGGAGAGTTTAAAAGGGCATACTACAGCTTTAGAAACTTAGCTATGATCATGGTCCTATCCTTGTTCCCCATCAGAAAAAAAACTGAAATCTGTGCATTGTTCATTTCTGCAGCATGTAATGGAGTTCACCTAGTTCAGTATTTCGTGTTTTCATAGTAGCCATATACTTCTCAGAGAAAGGCAAAAGATATCTCATAGAAGAATGTGTTCATGCAATTATATGCCTAAAGGTTATTTTATTCCTCACCATCAGTAGGTGTTTGTTACTTTTAGTCCTGGTACATGAAAATTTAAATTCATAGAGTCAAAAAATCATTTAGTTTGGAAAAGACCTTTAATATCACCATGTCCAACCATAAACCTAACACTGACAAGTCCACCACTAGGCTGTGTCCCTAAGTGCCACATCTACATGTCTTTTAAATACCTCCAGGGATGGCGACTCAACCACTTCCCTGGGCAACCTGTTCCAAGGCTTGACAACTCTTTCAGTTAATTTTCTTTTCCTACTATCCAATCTAAATCTCCCCTGGCACAACTTGAGGCCATTTCTTTTTGTCCTATCACTTGTTACTTGGGAGAAGAGACCAACACCCACCTCCCTACAACCTCCTCTCATGTAGTTGTAGGGAGAGATAAGGTCTTCTCTGAGCCTCCCATTCTCCAGACAAAACAATCCCAGTTCCTTCAGCCGCTCTTCATAAGACTTGTGCTCTAGACCCTTCACCAGCTTCATTGTCTTTCTATAGACGTACTCCAGCACCTCAATGTCTTTCTTGTAGTGAGAGGCCCAAATCTGAACACAGTATTAGAGGTGCGGCCTCACCAGTACCGAGTACAGATCACTTCCCTAGTCCTGATGTCCACACACCCACACAAGCCTTTTAAAAAAACTCTTCTATTGGATCTGTAGATTTTATTATTATATTTACAAGTGCCCAGTTTAACTTGGAATTTTGGTATATATCTTAAGTACTCATATAATTGCTTCTTATGTTACAGTGGCTTCAGCCATCACAGCTCTATTTAGAGGTAGGGCTCTGTCTCACTGTCACATCCTAGTATCAATGCTACAAGTGATAATGAGTCCAAACCTGCATGTAGTATTCCTCAGCAGCATACAGCAGAAACATGTCATGCCATTTTAGTATTTTCAGTTTATTAAGTATTTTTTTCATATATGTCATAATATATTTTCTGGGGTTTTTTCCCATTAACAACTACTAAGGTGTTTTCATTGATCCTGTCACACTGACCACCAATGTTTCTCTGAAATGACTACAGCTAGTATGGAAATAAACCATTCCAGTGTTAGGTTCAGATTTGTTAAGACCTTGCTTGTGTAATGAATCTTCAAAACTTATACCCTTGCTAATGTAAGCGTCACTGGAAGAGCACTCTGCAGTAGATGAAACGCAGAGAGAGCAAAGGAGCTGCTGGCATATTCATCTTACCTCCTCAGTCTTGTGTCCTTCCACTGACCTAGCTTCACGTACACTAGATGCTCAGTATGCTGGTTCATCAGCAGATCTTGTGGCAGCTTCCTGAATGACATTCCTTTGAAGTCCCCCTCAGGTAGTTGGGGGTTTTTTGATTGCTTGAGGTTTTTTTGGTGGGGGGTTTTTTGATGACCAGAGATAGCTGTGACTGCTTAAAAACATATCTGCCACTCCACCTGTTTGTTACCACCCTACAGCTAGGAAGACAAAGCTGACCTGGTGAAACCAATTGTGCAACTGCTTTTATCCACTTCAGCAATGTCATATGGCTTAGTAGCTTAAATTGCTGAAACAGAATACAAAATAGAATACAGAAATCCATGATAAAGTAAGACAAACATGATATTTTAAAATTTTGCAATTGGAATGTTTAAAGCAGAGCCTCCATTCTGGCATATGTGATGGCAAATCTTTCTGTACTTTGTCTCAGATATGACTCGTATATAACAAACTCATTTTCCAGAATAACATGATGTCTTTCTTTTCCTAAGGAAATGTTTAGTATAATTTTATTTGTTCAGTGAAAATACTTGAAGCCTCACATACTTCTAGACAACTAAAAAACTAGTGGTTTTTTATGTGCTACATATTTCTGAGGACTACAAAAAGCCTAGTCTGATGAAGTAGGAAAAGTGGCTAATAAAAAAAAAAAAAGGCTGCATGTATATATTTGCAGGCTAGACATTGATATTACTGCTGGCAACTACTGATCAGTAGGATAAGTGTGAAGAAAACACAAGTCATCCATCTGCTTCATCCATCTGCTGAGGAAAAGACCTGTTTTACCATTAGAAGGTCTGGCTCTATAATTCTGTGTGTTCCGTGTACATCTTCATAAGAAATGTCTTAGATACCTGTATTATTTAACTTTTTAGTTAACCATACTAAATGACATTTAATTAACCAAATTACAAGCAGCTCTAAGGTTTTACAAGCCACTCTAAGGTTATTATTTTTTGAAACAAATGAATAATAGAGCATAAATTGCCAGATGTTTCCTTAAAGTTCATGGTGAAAAATCAGTGACTCTTTAATGTGTCCAATAGAAGAATTTGTTTTACTATTAGATATACTTGATAATTTATGTTTCATATTGTTTAGAATGAGGATTTTGGCATAACGTGCCCCTTTGTCTTTTCTTTATTTGCTTACATTCTATTTAAATGTTTACATACCTTTCAAAAGTGAAAGCAATAAAGTTGGACTGTAAACTTCAAGTGAAACTGTATTGTCCAAGTCCATCTGTGGAGGTTATTGTTGAGGAGAGTAGTTTTCTTGAACTTCTATATTAGAACTGTCAGTCACAAACACAGAAAGTGAGGGACACTCCTGAGGAATTTTGTTCAATACTCTTTATTTTTCTTTTTTGTTTGTTTTGTTTTGTTTTTTTGGTGTTTTTTTCCCTGTAGATTAGGAGCCTTAGAAAGGGAACACCTTTTCTAGTGAGACAAATCCCACCCAGAAGTGGGAGCAGACTATATCTACCAGCGTCTCCTGTGACACATGATGTGATTTCCAGTACATACCAGGCATTCAGCACTTCTAGAATCCAGACAACACCAGATATTATTTCCATGTGCAAAGTGCTGCTGTGTAAACTCAGTAGGTCCTGTGTTTCGCACAGGATTGTCTGCAGTATTGCATACATTATTTCTGCTACTGTATGTGCTTAGTAAGCCCTTTCAGAATTTATTCCCTTGCTGGGTCCAAGAAGTATACTGGAAAAGCTAAAGACAAAGATCAGACCATCATCACTAGAATCACTCCAACAGCTTTCTCCTCCTTTCCCCAGCATTTTGCATACCTGATGACAATGAGCTCCAGGTCAGGAGGTTTTTGTTTCTTGGTTGTTTTGTTTTGTTTTCATTAATGCAAGTATATCTTGAGACATACACAGCTTTAAAATACTATTGGGTCACTCTTTAAGCCTTTTCTGTTATCTTGAGTGCTGAGAGCTATTTTTTTTATAAAACAACTATTTACAGTTCTTATGAAATTATGTAAAAATAGTCTTACTTTTTAAAAGAAAATTAGCTAAGCAAAGGAATAAGGTTTTTCTGCTATAAAACTAAAAATAGTAAAAAAAAAAAAAATTTAAGTTTAGAAAATTATTATTGTGCAATATATATTCATCTCCTGAGTGCTCCCATCACTGATGCTCAGGTCTAGGGCAGTGATGGTGGAGGCAGCTGACAGTCTCTTCAGGGTTGCCATTGTGCAGTTGGAAAAGGTAGACAAATCCTTTCCCTGTCAAAAGCCTGAATTACAAGACCTTTCAGATTGGCTGAAAGAGTTGTAGTTTTGGAAGAAAAACCTTTGCATTTTGCTAGAGAAACTGCATTCAATTTAATTGAGTCTTTCATATTATTGCAGAGTTGAACTATCAAAGTCATTTTTTACAGCAGTAATTTGGTTTAGTAGTCCCTGTAAAGATCACAGAATCACAGAATGACAGAATTGTAGGGGTTGGAAGGAACCTCGAAAGATCATCTAGTCCAACCCCCCTGCCAAAGCAGGTTCCCAACAACAGGTTGCACAAGAAAGCATCCGGGTGGGTTTTGAACTTCTCCAGAGATGGAGACTCCACAACCTCTCTGGGCAGCCTGTTCCAGTGGTCTGACCCCCTCACAGTAAAGAAGTTTTTCCTTAAGTTTGTATGGAAGAATACCAAAAGATTTACCAAAGAAAAAGACACTGAGGTGGTTTAGTAAATCTGTTTACATTTATCTTTAATAAAGTGTGAATTCCTTCTTTTCTGTTATGGTGAATAAACAATGTTTTTGAAACCTGAGCCGGTCCAAAAACTGAAGTGTTGTGCAGGTGATAAGAAAATTTAGCACCTATTGTTTAAAGTATAGTTGCCAATGATTTGAAAGGTCTGTAAAATCATTTGATATTGAAAATAAACAGCAGCAATTAACATAATCTTCTATTAGAATTAACAAAAGAAGTCATCATAACCTTCTTTCTCATTTTTATATACAAGGATTTAATATATAATACGTATAACTTTGGTTAAAAATCTAAACCTCATAATTTAAAAGGTCATAGTTATGCAAGTCTTTTTAATAAGGAATGTTTGAGATTTTGCTTTTTCAAAGATTTAACTGAAATAGTTTATTTTAAGAGCCTAGTTGTCAAACTCAGTTTTCTCTCTTGTTTTTCAGGTTTATGCTATACAAAAAGAGGAAAGTATATAACAGTCTATTATGTACATTTTAGTTTCCTTATGAGTTGTCAGTGTAAATAGTCTCATAGGCATGTAAGACCTCTTTCTGTGCAGCAATGTCAATGCAAAGAGTATTTCAATAAAGGAAAATTTAATTTGCTCCCATCAGAAGGCCCTCGGTACTGTCAGCATGATATAGTTGGAATTCAAATCCAGATTAGAGTGGGTTACAATAAAACTTTAAAATAAAATCCCACCAAAACCCTTTTTTTGTGATTAAAGTGTTTGCCATGTTTTGAAACTTTTGAGAGATAAGTAGTTTATGGTATTCTTCCAAGTTTATTGATGGCTTTAATAGTTGCTATTCCTTGTAACATTTATAACTGTATGGAAAAATATTCTGAGTTGAAGGTGTTTATAATTTCAAAACTCAAACAAATCTGTTACTGATAGTTAACAGAGACAATTACTGTATTTGTGAAACTTACAGAAAAGTCCTGTCCTTAGCCATAGGATGACAATTAACTGAGAACACTCTTAGAACTGTAAAGTCAAGCTGAAACACAAAACAATTTCTCTGTCACTCCTTCTCTGTAAATTTATGAGCAGAGACATTTTGAGGTGACAGGACACTGTAACCTTTTAAAATGTAGTTACGTGAAAAGATTCTTTCTTCCCCCAACTTCTTTCATAACAAACATGACATTATTTTGTCTACTGTCACCTAGTAAGAAATACAGTATGGTCTCATTTTTTGGATTGAAGTGTTGGCAAGAAAAAAGAATAGTACAAAAAGGAGAAAATGAAACTAGATTGCAATTACACTTGACACTCAAGAAAGCATGTTCCTCTTTCTTTTCTAGTAACTCCATCAACTGAGTGTGATCCATTCTTACAGACAAATTTAACTTTCTTCTTTGCTATTGTCTTCCTGTTCTGTTTAGAAGAAGAGCACTAGGAAATCTATATATAATCTTTCAGCTATGTGAATGCATGTGCAAACTTTGACTGTGAAAAAAAAAATAAAAATTAATATTTAGGAAACTCAGAACAAAAGACTGAAGCCATTTGTAGTGACTTGCATGAAGCAATTTACTTTGTGCTTAGCATTGTTTAGCTAAGCTAATCATGGAAGATTAACCTTTAAAAATTTATATCGCAAAGTATGTTGATCTAATTTTTGGTTCTTAATTCTTTTAGCTCTATCAATAACATTTGACATTTACCGATAGTAATGTCATGGACAAATACTTCCCCATCCTGAAATTACAAAGATTTGAATTGTTTTCTCTTCCTTTCTTGAGGGAGGAGTTGAAGATTGGTAGCAGTGCATGCATTTTTTTTTTCTTTTAATGGTTAATTAAATGATGACCTTACTGTAGAAAAAAATATAAGTTAAATGTTTAACATGGAAAAATGTTAGACAAACATACAGATTTTTGCAGTGTCCACATCATTTTATTTGAATGAAGCAAAAATATTTTAAAGAATGAATATGAGAAAAACAGGTTCTAGGGTGTGTTCTGTTCCTAAATCACAGCAGCACTGTTTGTCAATTATGTGCATAAGTATGAAACTCCAAGCAGTCCTACTGCTTTTACTATGATGCCACATATGTTTATATCTACTTCTGATCTTTGCCATGAGTAGTGTTATAAATATTCAATATTGAGAATGAAAAAGAAACAATAACAATTCATTACAGATTCAGTGTTTAGCATTCAAATTTTCTAGTACCTTTCTTAACAGGAGTTCTGAGGAACAAACAGTCAATCTTAAATTAATCTGCCAAGCTTTTTTAAATCTATGGTCTGAGCACCCCTCCTTTCAAGATTTCTTTGAAGAATCTACAAAATGCAATTAAGAAAGGAAAAATCAGACATGTTTTACAGAAACTTGCATGCATGAAGTTACAGATATTAAAAGAATATTGATAACCACTGAAAAGGAGGATAATTTATGAGACAGGCTCTGTAGCAGTACTAATCCTTGATAGTAGTAAAAAAGTGCTACAGATCTTTTTTCATGTAATACAAAAGCTCTTATTGACATTTAATGGAGTTGGAATATGTTCCTTTTAGCTTCACAAGACATAATATCTCAAAGTGTGAGTTGTATTTAGATGACATATACCTTGAAATACAAAAGTGTTTCATACTCACCCATGTTTACTCTTCTATTAAAAACAAAACCTGTTGGAACAATGTGAAGAAAGTCACATATGCAATGAGGCCTTGGGGAAACCAAGTGACAAGCAGAAATCATGTAAATGGACACCTTGAAACTAGACTATTTTTGTAGAAAGGTTAAGGACATTGGGTTTTGATTAAAGATATAATTAAGCCAGTTTTGTGGTTTGTTTTTTTTTTCTATTAGTGTTAAAACCAAACTAGAATCGGGCCAAGGCAGAAAATGGCAGTAGTTCCATTCCTATACCAAATATTATTAATAACTCAATTATTAGGAAAAAGGGGGGTTTACCACATCTTAACTTCCAATTTGACAATTTCTTGGAGCTTCAGGCAGATTCCTGATTTGTGGAATGACTGTTTAGACACAGCATAGAATTTAGAAATGCAATACTTGCTCCTGTTAGGAGACGTTGCTGCTGCATCCACACAACTTCGCCGAAAATGTGAAGTCATGCTCTAGATTTGCAACCAGAAGTGCTGGACCAGCCTCATCTGAAAAATTTGGTTTATTATCTTGGGGAGGTGGGGAGGAGGACAACTACTGTATCCCCTTAGCATCTTATGCAATATCGAAAGGCTTTTCAAAAGTCCCCCACATTTGTCCATTTTTTGCCAACACTGTTGAAGAACATGATCACAATACAGCACTTTTCTTGGTAATCTCTTCTGAGTTGTTGTATCACACTAGTCTGAGTGGTCTAGAATTCTGCTTTTAATTTCAGCTGGTTCTTTAATCTTACTTCCTAGTACATGGTGATTTCTAAGCGCCTAACAGCATAAAGCAAAACACAGTATTAGTTTAATGTAGTAATCAGAGGTTGATTTTGACAATATGAGTCTAAACTGCTTCTGAAAAATGCTGTGTGTCACTGCAGGTTGTCTGTATGACTATGTGGAATGGAATATTCATACAAGATATATGTATCCAGTAAACACATGAAACGTGTGCTGTTAAGCATCTGGTTCAGGTTAAGACCAATGGAAACTGGTTTCCAAACTCCACATGGGAGATTCTCATAGCATCCAGTCATAGATATCTATTTGACAGGGAAAATGTAGTTTTTCCTCCAGAACTATGAAAGTTTGGTTCCATAGATGTGTTCAGAAACTGAGACTTCAAAAACTGTCTCTTTTTAAATTTACTTCGTCTTCAATCCACAATATTGGTTTTGATTCAGAACATTTTAACAGGGACTGTTTCTATTTTCTTTGTCAGTAGGCTGATAAATTGTTATTACTATGGAGCAAAACATTTTCAACACACAATATTCTTAGTGGATCATTAATTTTATGCTGAAATAAAAGAACTTTTTTCCCTTTTTCTCCTGACCACTATTCCTAATTTGTCTGCATTAGATCAAACTTATACTCTCTTTATTACTAAGAATTTCTAAAACCAAAGAAAGATTGACCATTCCCAGTCAAGCTTATAGTACAGAATTTACGGTTAAAGAAAATAAGATTTGCACAAATACATTAGTGTGTTACCTTTTGATTCTATGCTGTTTGTTCTTTCTCCCTTGAAATTAACGAGGGAAGACTTTGGACTTATGGGCATTTTGAAATAAAAAGTTAGGCCTGCAGGCCGTGGACTGGTGAGATATTATGCCTACTTTTTTACTTCCTTCTACATTACTTAAAAAATGAGGAGAAATCACACAGCTGATGACACTGCAGCTACTTAATGCTGCTGTAAATAGATCATAATAAGCATGTGGTATACGTGATTGTCTGTGCTGATAAATGAAAGTGTGAGGATTGCTCAGTGTCAGTGGAAGGAGGGGAACAAGAAAAAAACCTTACTGATTACAGCTGCAAATGGTAGCAATTTTTCCTTCCTGCATTAATGAATGTAATTCATGTAATGCATAATACTTCATTCAACACCAAAATTCTCACTTTCAGTTCACAGACGCAAAGCATTTTAATTAAGAATATCAATGAGTAATGACAATCCACTTCCAGAAAAAGCAAATAAAGATGCTTCTTTGGCCATGTAGAAGGAGCTGTTATGCAAATATTGTTTATCAGTGTAATAAATTCACTTTCCTAAAACTCTTTGCCAAAAGAATAATCTTTAAGCCATGTTCAATTTTATTTGTATGTTTTGCCCTTCTAACCTTCCTTTACATGCAGTATTTGAGTGCAAACCTGCATTTTACAGTCTCTAGTGATCTAATCACTTCACCCTCTATAAACATCACAAATTAAAAGAGCTTTCAGCATCTGAACTCCAACACAACATACACAAAACTAAAATAATTAATTGTCTAGAGACCATAACAAATTTTAATGTGCATTTACAGAGTAAACAGAGGGCTCCAAGAGGTCAAACCAGTGGAAGTGAAGGTATGTATTACAAAATCCACACAGTACTGAGTAACAAACTAAAAAATGGCATTTTGTTTAAAAAGGAAATAAAGATGTCTATTGGTGGCACTACATATAGATAATATTAAAAACTGGCTTGCATGAGGACCAAAGTATGTCTACTCTGAAGTTATATCACACAGACTGTAAGCAATTTACAGAATTTAAGTTAGTTTTGCATATACAGAAATTGCAAAATTAGAGAAAACACATTGAAATATAGAACGCACCCCCAAAAAATATATAAACCTCCACACAATTTTCAGGGGTTGGCCTAAGTCAGTAATTGCCACCATTGAACAAGAGAAAAAAAAACAAAAAAAGACAGGAAAAAATACTCACATGGGAAAAAGAATAATAAAAAACCACAAACAACTAAAAAAAAAAATCCTAATTTGTTTTCCAGAGACAATGTAGTCTGCTTAGTTGCTTTGTAGAATTTATTTTCTCCTCCCTATTCCTCATTAAAAAAAAAAAAAAAGCTTTTTTATAACATTTGTGGTGTGTTTTATTGAAATTAATATTAAATCACTGTTTTGTTTCATTATGTGGCCTCTGTTTGCTTCCAGGCTGGAACGGTTCTTTCAGTGTAGGAAACCAAATGTCATCCACGGTTAATTCTGTAATAGAGAAGACTCGCAGGCCAACCCCTGAGAAGTCAAGGATGAGGCTTCTCCTTGCCAAAAGAAAAGGAAACTAGGTCTTGCTGTTACAAAAAGTTTGATTACATCACACCAGTTCTCTTCAAATAAAAGATCAGTGATACGTCAAAGAAAATCATATATATCAAGAAAACATGTGGTATCCTCTTCTTTTTATATAATTTATTTATTTATTTATTTAATTTAGTATTTTTGTTTGTACTTCCTGAAGAAGGTGCTCCTTGTGTAGAGATTTAGAGTACATTGGGTGCAGAGTGGTGGTTGGAGGTTAGGGTCAACTTTGCTGTCCGCTCCGTGGATTTTACAGGCGATTTGCTCTTTGCTTTAAGAAGAGAAAGTGATATTGGAAAAAGTCAGCACTTTTAGATTAAAGCAAAGCACCCTTCACAAAGCCACAAACAAGAAGCAGGACAGAAAGTCCATGGCTTGTAGCTATCCTCGCACCTGCGGAAGAAGTTATAAGATATTCGCTCATCTTGCAGATTTCCAATGCTCCTTATAAGGCTGTTTTAAACATATACATTTATATATTTAATTAGCTCGCCAGGTTGGCTCTGGTGCCCATGAATGTCTTGGCATGCACTGCAAATAACAACACATACAAAGTATTTCAGTCCCAGGGAGGCTTTTTTGGTTTGTTTTCCTTTTGTTTCTTGTCTGTCTTTTTAAACAACATTATCCAGTTAAACAATACACCAAGAGGAACAAAGCCAAACACCTTCCACCTCAGAGTGTTCTTTACAAAATCATTTCCAGCATCAAATCATTGACTGCTAACAGAAATTCATGTAGTGTTTTCTTGTAAAACAGAGGAGATACTGGCAAATGGCTGTGCTATTTACAAGGGGGAAACAGAATGCTAAAATATTTGGCTTATTTATTTTTGAGAAATTGTACTTTCCCAGATTTTTTTTTTAAAGCTATGAAAACAATGATACATATAATTATTTCTAAAAACATTATTTTATATTTTAAGTATGTTATCAGAATAAAGACAGTCAGAACTAGACTAATTACATTCAGAATTTGAAACATACTATTTGAGGTGAAAACCATAAATGTAATTTGGTTACACTATGAATAAAAAGTTCCAATTCTAACAGGTTAATGCATGATTAATAGATTTTTTAACTGTATGCTTGAAAAGGATGAATGTTATTGATGGTTACAGTCATCAATTCTATAACAAAGTAATAATGGTGCTATAAACAGTTCATAATAATATTGACCTTTTAATTTCTTTTTTTTTTTTTTTTTAAATCTATTGATCATGTATAAACTATTTTTGTAAAGAATTTAATATTAAACTGAATACTGGGTCCCATTACAGGCCCAAAGGTCACATTTATCTTCTCATCAAGAATATACACAATAAAAGCAAAAAGAACTCAAGGCAAATGCTCATATTTTAAAGTTTTCAGATATTTATCAGTAAAACACTTTTCTGTATCTGCTAACTATGTTTGTAAGTGTAGCAAGAAGTATTTCTGTTCCTGTCTTTGGTAAAATTTTCCCTTCAAAACCAGGGATTAAAACTAAATCCCACATCTCTGAACACTGCTTCCTTTAGTAAATACATGGTGTGAGATGTTGCATACGTAGTAGTTGTCATAAAAGACTTTTAGTCCTCTGTCACATATGCAAGAGCTTCTAAGAAACAGTGAAATTTCAATTATCCATGTGTGAACTGAATTGCCGAAAGAATATGAACTTGTAAATGGAAACCACTCAAAGACATTACTAAGATTTTTTAAGAAGTCCAAGGGAACTCTGAGCTTAGTTCCTACTGAACATAGACAAGAGTGGGAAACCTGCTTTTCTCTTGCCCATCTGATAATGCTACCTGTACTACACTGCAGTAGTTTACCAGGCTTCTCAAAACACTTGTTCTGTATTAGGAACAAGCAAACACACAAGCAAATGTGCTGTAATTTCTTCCTGTGGGTTGTTCTCATACAGGTAATATTTACAAGCTTGCACCCAAGCACTGAGTTTAATTTCTGGTTTTGGTTTTATTGCAGCATAGGTTTATTCTCTCTTTTACATAACATGTAAAATCTGTCATTTGACAGATTTTTACAATGGTTTTCTTTCCCTCACTAGGTTGGGAGGACATAGTTAGAGCCTTTGATAGTGTTAGATCATTTAATGAGATATTGAATTATTTTCACTCATTTTATTCCATTCAATTTTTTTGTTTGTTTATTTGTTTGGGGTTTTTTTTGAGAAAAACACTGCTCAAGACAATTCTGAAAAGGTCTTTGGAGATGCATTTCCTCTGCACAAAATATGTGCAATGCAAATAACATTAAATACTCAGAAGAGTTTCATGCATATTTTTTAAAAGAGTTTTTTTAACAATTAATGGTATTATAATTTGAGAATTTGAAACCTGTAATGTGTGAAAGAGAAACAGTATCATACAAAGAGAAACAGTATCATACAAAGTAAGTGATTTAGGTTAGAGTACATGCAGTAAGTACAAGCTAAAGCAATACTGAACACATGAGAAAAAAATAGTGGAAAAACAACTAAGAATTTCAGCTTCTAGGTGAATAAAGAGGCTGCTAGGATTCTGCATGGTTTCGGGAGCTGTTTAGTATACCCTAATATCATATCAGGTTTCTATTTACTAGCTTAATAGTTTTCAAAATGCTGTCTTACCCAAACTGATACATTTTCAGTAATATGTCACCCTCAATAAAATTGACTTGCAATATACAGCGATATACATGACCAGTAGGTGCGCGCTCATCTTTTCAGTGATTCTTTATGAAATGCAATTGGAGTTTAAATATACTCAGCTTGCTTTTTTTTTTCCCCCTAAACTGAAAAACAGCCTTTTCAATTTTTTTTTCCTTTTTCTATTGTGTCGTATTTGCTCATATTCTATAATTTTGGTTTCCATCTTGATAAAGGATAACTGACCCAGAAATTTCCATTTTGACTGTGAATCTAAAAGTCATAGGATGTTTAAATCAGAGATTTAGTTCCACTATTTTTAGACTTCAGTCAGAGGCAAAGTACAGACCAGAATCCAACTCCAGATGTTTCAAAAATACAGAGTATCCAAACTCAGAGTTTTCATGCAGATGTCGTTTTGCTGTACTGTTATGATCAGGACTTAAAAACTATCACTGTAACTGTGAGCATGGTAATATAAGTAAAAACCTGTTGATCTGGCTGTGGATTTCCTAAATGGATTACTCATTTCCCTGCCATTTCTAACATTATTTTCTAATTAATTTAATGAGAGCTAAAAGAAATTTTATTGCAGGTCAAGAACACTGGCAAAGCTGACCTACAATTATGTTATCCTCAAAGATAGTAACCTGGAAGAAGAATGGTAGTCTGGATGCATATTTTTGTATTATTAGTTAAATTCTACTTGATGTGTGGGTCTCACGTTTTGACCTATCAGCCACTGAGATCCAGCTAAATTCTTCCCGTGAGATATAAATGCCCATTTGTTGTCTTTTGTTTCTTGCCCAAAAAAGCAAATGTCCATGAAATACTTAACTTTCTCCTGTAAACAAATGTTGTATGGCCAAAGGCATGTGATCACGAGAAAAGTTTCCGTGCAAATGCATGAAAGAGTAGTTCATGCCATTAAACTCTTTGAAATTGTGATTTATTCAAATAAATTCTTCTTATTAAATGCTTAATATTTACTTAATGCTAGGAAAAGGAAAACAGATAAAACAATCAGTCATAAGTAATTTTCATCTTAGTCTTCAACATAATAAAATAATCTCTGTCACAAATGCCAAACCATATTTTATGGCTCATAGTGTATGAGACAAACAGCCAAATATCAATTTTGTTCTGTTAATGATATTAATTTTAGAGCATCTAAGTATAAAATAAAGCCAGCAGAAGTTACAAATTGTTAGTAAACTCTAACTGATAAAAAAAATAGTTACTCATTGCATGCTTGAATGGCTATAATCCCTTGCTTTCCCTAAGATATTGATCGGACAAAATTAGTGTAAAAATACACGGGATTTGGGGATGCAAGCAGAGAAAAGCAAATGCTGGTTTCATGATTTTGACCATTTATTTTTCACAACTGGATGAAACACTAATTTGTAAACTAAGCAGCTGCCTCAGGTCCCTCCAGTTTTAGCATCCTGTATTTGTAAGAGTACCTTACATGGTTAACCACCTTGGATCTCAAGCCATTTGCAGTTGCAAGATTTGAATGTTAGAAAGTTTATTGTTCCTTGTTTCCTTAGGAAAGACTAATTAATGCCTGAGTAGAGTTCTGATTTTGTGCTGACCAGTAGAGAAGAAATACAGTCAGTCACACAAAAGTCCATTCTACATTCTCTGTATGTATTAAATGATGCCTGAATATCACTGCATATATATATAGGGAATAAATATTCAGCTTGTGCTGAATATGAGTTAAATTTGTTGTACTGCTGGTTTCTGAAAATGCAGAGGCGTTCAAACTTTGGAAGTTTCATTTTGGGGGAATTTGTGATGACATTTTGCATCTTTAAGTGCCTGGTTTGCTGTTTCACAACACTCAGCTTTGCTTTATAGTGTTAGATTCAAAATAGTCTTCTTGTCAGCCCCAGTTGAAACCACATGAAAACATAATTTTGCATTATGTCCATGTGAAGAAAGTAAAAGTTCATTAAATATCTGCCTTAACTTAACTGGAGATACTAATGAATCATAAGATTTATTGTAAGATATTTGCAGTTTTACATCCATAAAGATATGTGAAATCAATTATGGTTGATATTATTTGAAGTTTTATTTAAATATGTCTCACACAGGTTTTAAATCAATAGGTTCTTCCTCTCTGGGCCAGCAATTGCTATAGTTTTTATTCCTCTGAATTGCAGAAGTCACAGTTACCTATAGTTCTCCTATACTGCTGGGATATATACCCACACTCAGGAAGAAAATTTCCCTTCCATGAATGTAAAATCCCCCTTTCCCTCCTCAGGAGAATTACTTCTCATGTGTCTTTCAAGGTTCAGTCACCTGTGTTTGATTTTGGGGAACTGAATGACAAAAGACTATCAGTAAGTATCATATTTAAGCCTCCTAATGTAGATACTTTTGCTTAGGCTTCCAGTCCATCTTTCTCCATTGACTGTACAGTAGTCAGCCTAAAATAGTTTGAATTGATCATCACTGTCTTGGGCAAACATAACACACAGGGCAAATGAATTCATCTTACATGCTAGAAGAAAAGTTCTGAATTTATGATTTTTTTTTTTTTTTTTTTATTTTGGAAAAAAAACACCGCTTCCAAATTAATGGAAATTTGAAACATGTTATGTATAGGATTTCCCTGAAGTCTACTTAGACTTTGCATCTAGTGAGTACCTTTGTTTATCTTCTGTGTGTTCCTTCTTTACCAGTGATGCCCAACAGAGAAGGCGAGAAAGAAGGATGTGATCCTAAATGGATGGTTATTCCTTAGC